GCACGAAAAGCAGGACAGGAACATGCTTTTACAGTGAGAAAACCTTTTTCCCATCACCAGCACCCTGTGGCTAATCCCTCAGTTTTGATCCTCAAGGAAGATCCATAAATGATAATCTCGAGAACTGAAACTGATAACTTGGCAGAGACAGTGATCTTACAGCATTTTATGGTTTTCCGATCGCCCTTCAACCCAGCCCTTCACTGTTTAGTGTTAACTGCCTGCCTTTCCTTGTTTCACAGGGGGGATATGAACTTCATCCCCTTTCTCTTGTTAATTCCCTCACCCATTCCTGTTAAAAGTTAGCGCCTCTTTTTTGTGTAAAGTGTCCGATTGAACGACATAATTAAATTAAGCTCAGACCATTGCCTTCCATCCTGTCTTTAGTCTGAAGTTTGCCGTTTTCTCTTTCAGATTTAAAAAAAGTCTTTGCCTTAAACTTTGCCTGTTCTTTCACATTCATCAGTTGATGTATTAAAAGATGAACTTTCTCCAGCAGATGGCAACACACTTCTAAATTATTCATCGCATGTCTGAGAGGTAGGGCTAGTTCCTAAGCAAGTCGGATAGGAGATGAAATTGAGTTTGAGAAAGGGACTTAGTACGATACGGTGCTTTTCTTCCTTTGGAAAAATATTTTTTTTTAAGCTAGTGGCATTGTTCTTTCATTTAAACTTATTATTCTTTAATCTGAAAATGTAGTATAATGGTGTTGTTGTGGCTCTTTGCCTCCGCATTTAACAAGAGTTAACAGTGACCAGATGAACCAGTACATCCCTGTGCATCTTCCAGGCATTGCTTTTATTTCCAAAGAGCAATTAAGTAGTTCAGAGGCCAGGATAGTGGGAGCTGTATTCTAACATTGTTTTTCTCTCTCTCTTTTTTTTTTTTTTTTCTTCTTTTTTCCCCAAAAGGCATTTCAAAAGCACACGTCTCCAGTTCACATCAGAAGTATCCATTAGCTGCTGTAGAATTCTAAAGCATTTTTATTGCTGTAGACTCAGAAACTATGGAGTTCCTATCAATCAAAATATCTGTATAGGAAAGCAAGTACTAGAATATTTCTTCCTTGGATTTCTCCTGCCGTAATCTTTCTGTGAATGGGTACAGCCTGATGTTTCGCGGACATTGTGTTGTGTCCTATTTCTGACGCTGAGAGGTTGATAGAAAATGATACAAAGAAGCGTTTGACATCACTTCCTGAAGGTTACAGTAACTAGACAAGGCACACCGCAAGGGAAAACCAGGCTCGGGCTCTTGTCTTCACCCTTTTGTCTGTCACTCCTTTTAAGTGGTAATTATAGCTAGGCTTGATTTTTCCCAGGGAGGATGCACACTCAGGTGCATGACAAACACTGGGTGACTCAGAACTGGTTGTGTCATTGCTTGCAATTACGAATTCGACCAGCTGGGCAGCGGCTGTACCTCGATTTCTTCAGAGTGTCTCTTGACATCACCGGGTCCAGTTTGCCCCGGCACCTGCACTCCATGTTAGCCCCCCTCTCAATCTAGGTCCCCACCCATCTGCCCTGTGCTTGGTGGCATTGCTGCCTGTCCTCACTGTGCTCCCATTTCTCGTTGTTTAGGGTTTCTCTTGTGCAGCACTGTGAACAGACTCAGAAATGTGATCCCAGGGCACCATTTGCAAAGGAGCTGTATTGACATATGCAGCCCACTTGTACAAACGCAGGTAATGTTGAAGGCTAGGTTTGCTCACTATCATGTTAGGAGGGGCTGATATTTTTTTTCCTTTCCTTTGGTAAGAAGAGAACAGTGCTATTTTTAAAACTGCCACCTCCCATAACATACAATGCTTTTTCTGAGGCAACATGAGTAGTTTGCTAGGCTTTGCAAAAATGATATTGTCTTCCCCCTTGTTCATTTCGGACAAGACTGAGAAGCAGAATATCAGCCAAGGAGGCAGAATACAATGTTGTCAGAGGAACAGAATACGAGGTTGTTGGTGGCCAAACATTGCTCGGGAGCCATTGAAAGTCAGAACCACTATCTGTAAAAAAGTCCAGTGTCACCATTTTCTAGTATTAAAGCACTGCACTTCAGAAGGGAAATTATACAGAATAATTTGAGCTGATTTGTAGTTTCATCCCCACAAGGGACAAGCCCATGTGTCTTCCTCATCCAAATTGGCTTATGTACTGTTCTTGATTTGGTCAGCAGGTGGACTTCTCCTGCCAGAGCAGCAGTGAGAAAAATTATTCTAATTAATAGAAATGGGCAGAAAAGGCAGCATCTTCCTCTAAATAACTGGGTTTTTTAATAACAGGACTTCGTACAGATGTATAGAGTTTGTTTGGTGGTGACAATAGCACGCTGCCTAAATATAGAAATCTATTTCAACTGTAAATCGCTTTAATGGAGCAGCTTTTCTGTGCAGCCCAGATAATATAGATTAACAGAGTAATGGCTAAGCACTAACAGTACCTGAAATCTGTATTTGATCTGCCTGGAAAGAGTTTGATCTTCTGCACTTAATTCCTGGTGGATAGGAATTCACATAGTGAGAAATACCATCATAATTTGTACTAATTATAATTCCTGGGAGTGAGGCCAAATACAGCCTTGCAGAATGTGTATTTCCCACTTAGGCACAGCTGATTTTGGCAGAGAAGCACGTCAGCAAGCAGCACGCAATGGGGCTCTCCTAATGTACCTGCTACCTACATAGACAGAGCCAGTCCCCAGACCTGTTGGTTCAGTAGCTCAGGGAATGGGACAGACTTTCACTGCAAAAAAGCCGAAACTGGACCAAAAAAATCTAGCAAACTCAAAATATCCGACTGCGCTCTGCATTGTGAAACTAAACCTGCATCCTCTGTTAGCTGTCAGGACAAAGGCAAGACCTGAGAAACGAATCCGTGGGAACGGCCCTGTTTGTTTGCTTAATCACTTAGTTTAAATACAGATTAAAAATCACTTAAGCTCATTGACAAGTTAAGTGTGTGTCAACCAACGGTTGTCAGAAACTGCAAGGAAACAGGAGCGTAGTCCCACACGGAAGAGATTTTAGGAAAGGAATAAGAGAAAAAGGCCTGGAGCCTTGGAGTGAGGCAACAATGTATCTTTGAGCTCGAACTATCAATTTCTCTTCACTGTCCCTGCTAACAGTGAACAGTTTGGTGAATAATTGTCGCTTGTCCCTTCTAACAGCATACGATTTGGTGAATAATCCCTCATCTACATTCATTCCTTCTGATCAAATGGAAATGTCATAGTTCACAGAAAGTCAGCCAGTGTCTGAAATGCACTGGGAAAGCTTTGCAAGATCCTCGCTTGCTGTGCTCTTGTCGCCGCTGCAGTGTGGCGTGTCCCTGCCGGTCCCATTGGAGGCACTGCCACACCTCACACTGCGCATTCTGCCTTTTCTGGAGCTGCCACCTGGCTCTGAACTAGCACCGAGGAGCATGGCACTGGAAAAAGCCGGTCTATTGAAAGCCAGTCCCTTGAGATAGCAGCCACTTGCTGTAGCAAGAGTGGCACATGTTTTAGCAGCAGCCTAGTTTCTAATACCATCTCCATTTTTTGTAGCTGTAGAAATTTAAGGCTGTGCTAGGTGTAAAAACACATAAGGGGTTGATTAAAGCAAAATACCAGAGAAAACTGCAGAAGAAAAGCCTTCTTGCAGTTCTCAGGAAGCTTGTTGGCTGTCTCCAAAGAGTAGACATGCTTTGTCCACTGAGCCTGAAGGGTTGCAGTGATTATAACTTTCCGTCAACCACAGGGAAAAGCACTTTGGACTGTGCCTGGATTAAAGATTTCTCCTCAAGTTCAACATCAGTGTAGGTGAAACACCTTTGCATCTTCTCAGCGTGGATGCAAACTAGAGCAAGACAAACTCATGAACTGCTAATCAGTAGCTGCTTGCAGCACAAACCTGCCTAGTGCAGACAGGTCTGCCTTGCTGAGAGGACCATGAAGGACATCATGGTGACTGTATGAGGGTTGTTCACTGACAGCCTGAGTTTAGCTCCTCCATTAGGAAGCAGTTCCACACTCAAAGCTAATGTAGCAATATTGGGTATTGCAGGCATTAATAGTTTCCCTCCAGTGTTTCCAATCACTTGGAGGTGCTACACTAGCGTGCAATGATGGCTGAGATAGTGTGGCTGTATCTGTCCTTTTAAGTGGTGTGTTCCCACTCTTCTGTTTGTTTAGTCATACCTCTTTAGACGGTGAGCTCCTCAGGGCAGGGATGGAGCCGTCTTCTTAGCTGCCAAGGGCACAGTGTGGTGTGTGAGCTACCAGAAGTGAATATGAAAAACAGGCAGCAGACTGGGAACTCCTGCTCTTGTCCATGCAGCTGGGAAAATACTCTTTGTGGCTTTTGCCAGTGGGTAGCAACAGCTTGGCTGGGCCCCAGGAGCCCGGTAATGGCAATCGCATAGTTAACAGATGTGATGACTTTTGGCCATTTGTTTTATATTGTCCTTCACAATATTGACCAGCAATGTTGTTTTTATTTGTGTCCTGATTTCAGGGCAGAAATCACAGATGCGCCAAATGGGACATCTTCTGTTGGAGCTGATTCTTTCCAAAAGGAAGCGGGGGCGACTTAGATGGAGCGCGGCTTTGCCGTGTAAGCGCGGCTCAGAGCACGGCGTGGCACCTGCCGAAATTCCAAAGGCAGGCGCCGCTCGGGAGCATCGCAGGGATGGCGGTGCAGCAGCGGGACCTTCGCCCGCGGGACGGCGGCGGGAGGAGGAGGCGGTCGGACCGGGCCGGGCACGGCAGAGCAGGGCAGGGCTGGGTCCGGCCACCTCCCGGCGGGGCGGGACAGGGCGGGACTAGGGAAATTTGGGCTGGTTTTGAGCGCAGGGTGGCAGGTGTAGTGATGAGGAGCAAAGCTCGGCGGGCTGGAGAGCGTGGCCCGACACGGCAGCCCCGACAGCAGCCCGTTCTCAGGAGCATGGCAGCGGCCCCGCCGCGCCGCGCCCCACGCTGAGCCCTGTCGTGTCCGCGGTGCCACCGTCAGTGCCATTGCCATGCCTCCCCAGGAGCTCCTGGATTACGCGCCCGCCCTGCGGAGACACAGCCCGCCCCGCGGCAGCGGCCCGGAGCTGGGAATCAAGTGCGTGCTGGTGGGCGATGGCGCCGTGGGCAAGACCAGCCTGGTGGTCAGCTACACCACCAACGGGTACCCCGACGAGTACCAGCCCACCGCCCTCGACACCTTCTCCGGTAGGTGCCCGCCCGGGCTGCGCGGGGCGTGGGGCGGCCGCGAGGATCCAGCCTGGAGCAGCGAAACCTCGGGACGCGGGGTCGGGAGGAGCGGGGTCCCGGGGGGATGGAGGAGAGCGCTCCGGGGGTTCTGCGGGCACACAGCCCGAGGGGATTTCTGGCACTCGGACCGAGTCCCTCCGACGTTCTGCGAGGTTTAGCAGGTGGAGGTCCTCCGTTCTGCAACGGTGTCGAGTTGATTTGCAAGTTCTATGAACTTGGGCACCTTCCTGGTTTTGTGGTGTTGTCATGACTAAATAGAAGGGGGCTTAGGTTTTTTATTGTTTGTGGTGGTTTTAGCTTCAGAAATAGCCTACAGTGTAACATTGAGATTTTACCCTCAACTGATAGGAAAACCATCCTTTTCTTTCCATGTCTGATGAAGTTAGCATTGAACAGAGGTTGTCAAAAAGTTGACGAGCTTTTTAAGTCTGGCTAGAATTGCAAGCTGATGAGCTCTCATTAGTTTCCACTTTTGTAAATGCTATCTTTGTTCTTGTTCTACACTCCTCTTCCTTTGGGCTCCAATTTCTAATAAAACCCCGGGAGAATACAAAGCCCTTTGAAAGATTTCTTATCTTCATTTGATATGAAGAAACACAGCACTACTTGACGATGTAGATTGGTAGATTAGAGATGTGCTCAAGTCAGACCAGGAATGAGACATCTAATGTGTCATAGTCTTAGGGGTGCTTAGAAGGAGTGTTTTGTTTGGCTGAATGTCCCCCCTCAATTGCTCACTCTGAGAGCTTTTGATTCACCCTGACCATCTCCAAGCTATTCCACTGCTACTTGAAGGAACTGAATGGGAACTTCTTCTCACGGTCCAGAAGCCCTTTATGAACAGATGTAAGGAATCTTGAGTCCTCCAAGAAAAATATTGCTTATCTCTCTGCTCTCTTTATATTCATGTGTATGGATTAGAATAAGAGAGGCTTAAAATTACTGTAGCTGTTAGACTGCACATTTTTGGAAGGGCAAATCCATAATAAAATGGTCCAGAAAGTGAAGGCAAGATGAGTGCGGAAACTCCCTGATTAACAGCGGGTAATCTGAAGATAGTTTCAAAGATAGTTTCACACAGATTTAGTTCCAGTCTGGATGTTCCAGTACTAAGCTTGACTTCAGAGGTTCATAGGATATGTAACTGGTAGAGATCAAACACATTAAAAATGTGTCTTGTGAAGTTCACTTTCTGCTTATTGGGAGGAAATGGAAAAACAAGGTTCCCTTCCCACCCCTGCTCTTACCCTGGATAAGCCTGAAGAAAGTCCCTTCCTGGGAGTCCCTTCCTGGAGTCAGGATCCAGCATAGAAATTTAAGCTTAATTCCTTCCACTTTTGGGGAATACCTGCCATTGAAATTGCTGGCAGAGCAGAGCAGTTTAAATTCTAACCTTAATCCTGGCCATGGGACTGTGATGCCAATAATAAGATAGGAGAAGGTGTTGCATTATCAGGGGAACGTCTCTGGGCCAGTGACCCAGCCACATACATCGGTCTGGCTGCTACCTCCTGCTGGGTGTCGCTGCCAGGTGACAAGAGCAGCCTTGAGTGAAATGCGGACCCGGTGACCTTTCTCCACCAGGCTATCCTGTTCTGCCAGCCCCTTCGCTATTGTGCCATGATCCATCCTCATCCTGAGGGTGTGGACCTTGTGAGGGCGGTATTTGGAGGGCTGTTGCAGAGCTGCTGGTGTAGCTCAAGTTAGCAGCAGATGGGATGAAACTTTGTGCAAACGCTGGAGCAGCAGGCAGTGTATGTGGCGAGTTTCCTCCGAAGATGGCAAGACGTTTCAGAGATGCTAATTCCTTCTCTCAATGCACTTGTGAGACAGAGAAAACCAGATACTAGAAAGTCAAATGCCTGCTGTCTTGAAGATCAAGTCAGGATCTAGCAGGTTCTTTGATCGGGAACAGGTTTCTCTTCCTGCTCTGGGGCAAAGATATGGTAACAACCCAACTGTTTCCCAGTCACACGGAAGCGATGACTTTCAGCTACGCCGCGAGGAGTGGCACAGTGGTGGACGCACCCACCCCTTCATTTTTCTTCCCATCTTGGTCTCCCACCAAACTTCAGTTCATCTTTTTGTCTGTGTCCCTTTTTTCCCCCTAGACTGCTTTAAGGGAGGAGGGCTCTCCTTCAAAAGCTTGCGTTAAACTCTCTTTTTTCTGTCACTTCTTACCTGACAAATCACTTCAAGAATCACAAAAGATTGATCCTGCTTCTGATTGCGGGATTTTTTGTTTGTTTGTGGGTTTTGGGGGGCTTTTTGGTTTGGTTGTTTTTTTTGTTTTGTTTTTTTTTTTTTAACAAAAAGGACAATAAAGCCTCCTCCCTGCACACAGCAGTGGAATTTTGCTAGTTCATGTCAAGTGCCAGCCATTGTCACCTTAGCCGTGATGTCTGCCTCTACTCAGGCAAGCACTTCCCCATCCACCTGGTCAGGACTTTCTGAGTGATTTCCAGCTCCACAACCCCTTTTTCTTTCTCTTCAGTTCCTAGCCAATCTCTGTGGTGTCTATGCACTTAAACATCTAACAGTTTCATTCCCGACTGCCATCAGAGGTCCTGCCAGCCCTCAGTCTGAGTCAGCTGATACCACATGAAGGCTTACTGTGATTAGGGAGTGAAATGGGAGCAAACCTTACATGTGTAACTCAGCAGTTTTTCAGTGTGTGCATAGTCTCTGAAAGGGATTTCACTCATCACTATTTCCTTAATAGCTTCTTCATTACAAAGGTGGGTTTTTCCTTAGCTAGGACACTTACGTAACTTTTCTTTAAGGCCAAATTTCTGGTCTCATTGGGAAAAATCTCCAATAGCTTTTTTGATGGATTTTGATTTGAATTTGCTTGGTCAAGAAGATAGGACCAAGTTGCTGAAGTTCTCTGGTTTTATCCTTATCCTTTTCCTGGGTTGTAGAAGAAGAACAAATGGTTCTCAGGGAACTGTTTGGCTAAAAGCTCCTCTTGTCTGGAGGAGCAGTTGCCCAGTAACATGGAATTATTTTTTCAAAATTCTGGAGAAGAACACAAAACACTTGAGAGCTAACAAAATCAGGTCTGCTGCAGTTTCTCTTAATGTTTCCAGTGCAAGCTTCAACAGTCTTAGCGAGGTTTGGGAGGATACTCAGCTAGGAGGAGATGTGAGTGACTTCAGTGAGGCTGTTCAGCAGGGTATAAACCAAAGTGCTCAGGAAAAGCCTGTGTAAGGGTACATGTGTATGCTGACCAACTGCTTTAGACTCATCCTTATTTTCCTTCTGCTACAGTGCAGGTCCTCGTGGATGGAGCCCCAGTCCGAATTCAGCTGTGGGACACTGCTGGACAGGTAAGCTCTACCAAATCAGCTGTCGTCTCGGTCCTGTGGGACCAGGACTGTTTTTAGGCTTTGAGGAAGGTAGTGTTTAACTGGGAAGAAAGGAAATGCACTGGTGCAGCACCAGCCATTTGCTGGTGTGGCAGTCACAGACAGGTGAATGACAGACGCCCTCAACTCTGAAACTTGTGTCTGAAACGTCAGTACAATGCCCTGCCTTTGTTGCTATTTTAGTTAACTTGTAGAAAAGCTACTGCAGCATCATGCTGTTAGAAGAGCAGCCCAGTGAAGATTTCTTTTCCCCCTCCCTTTTCTACAGGAGGACTTTGACTGTTTGCGCTCTCTTTGTTACCCTGACACCGACGTCTTCCTTGTCTGCTTCAGTGTGGTGAACCCAAGCTCCTTCCAAAACATTACAGAGAAATGGATCCCTGAGATACGAACTCACAACCCGCGGGCGCCGGTGCTGCTGGTGGGGACGCAGGCAGACCTGCGGGACGATGTCAATGTCCTCATCAGCCTGGATCGCTACCACGTGAAGCCTGTGCCCCGGCCTCAGGCAGAAGGTCTAGCTGACAAAATCCGGGCTGAAGCCTACCTGGAATGCTCAGCACTGACCCAGAAGAACCTTAAAGAAGTTTTTGACATGGCCATTGTCAGCGGTGTTGAGCACAAGGCACGTCAGGAAAAGAAGATGACTGCCAAAGGAATCAAGACTCTCTCCAAGTGCCGCTGGAAGAAGTTCTTTTGCTTTGTCTGAAGCTGCTTTGAGGGAGGGGAAAAGAAATACCCAATGGCAGTATTGGCTCTGCACCTTCTCGGAGTGACTGCTCCTATGGCCCCAGCAAGGAGGGTATGATAAGCTGCTGGGCTTGGAAACCTGTCTCTTGCTGGGTACAGTATCAGATGCCTAGGAGACATGAACTAGATTTCCATTGTGCTGAGATGTGGAATGGTCCAGGCAGCTGTAATACCTGCTGGACATGTCTGTAGTGTCCCAGACTAATAGGAGCCTTTAATACATCAAGACTCAGTACCCCAGAACAGGCAGGTTCCTTACACTGTCCAAAATGACCAGTTTTCTGGTTGAAGCATACACACTTTGAGTTCTGATGCAGCATAATAAGCATAAGGGACTTCTGAAATCAGCCTGTGTTTTGGCTGATTTATAGGCGTGGCAGAGAGTAGGGCAGGGGCAGTTACATGAAACTGCAATGTGGTCAGGCATGGGGTGCAGAGTTTGTGACATGAGACTTGGGTTCCCCCTCTGATTCCATTTGCCTAAATAGGTAGAATTCACCTGGCTGTGAAAAAGCAGCACTCTTTTCTCTGTACTAGGAATACTCTTGAGAAGGTACTTCCTAAATAAAGGAAGAAGAGAAAATGAACTGGGGGCTACAGTAATACTTTGAGCAAAACCTTCTCCGAGAGGACTCTCTGGTCCACTGGTGCCAGTGTTATAACCCTATCCTAAGAGGTAGCTGTGGACTTGGGGACCAGCTTTGAAAGGCCTTTTGTGTGTGTGGGGTTTCAAAAGAAAGAAGAGGTAAGGAAGAGTGAGGAGTGGCTCTGTCTAGCAGAGAAAAAACTGTGTCAGCAGAAAGGGTTTGTATCACTACCAAGGAGTCAAATGTAGATGGAGAGAGAAGGAATAAAAGGAAGCAAATAGAAAGGAGAAAGATGGAATGAAGAAAGGTAGATGGAGAAGGAAAGAAGAATGAATGTCATTAAATGAAAGTTGTGATTCTATTTAGTTGAGATGCTAATATACAGGGAAACGTTTAGGGACCTGAAAATTTTGCTAATGATATGAATTTCAAAGTAATATTGTCCATACATTCAGTTCTGAATCAAAAGGAAGGGGTTGTAGTGAGAGAGAGTTCCTCTTCATTAGTAAAATCCTCCATTTCGGATCTACACAGAAGAATGGAATTTACCTTGTACTGTTCTTCCTGAGGCTGCAGAACAGGAACAGAGGACTCAGGGCTTCTATCTGTTATGCTTCTCTGTTTTGAAAGTCACTGCTTGATCTGCTGAAATCAAAACCAAAGGAAATCGATGAAGTTTATGCTGGTGAAAATCATTCCTTGTGTTTCACTCCCTTCCTCTCTCACCTGTTTCTCAGGGGTTTAAAAAACCATGAGAGTCTATTCACCTTTTATTCTATTTTATTACAGAACTTGCATCAATTTTTAAATCTTCTTTTGCAGAGACATTTCATTTTGGTTTATGTAGCAGAGAGCGTGACAGGTCTGTCAAGCAATGCTTTTGATACTCAGGGGGTTCTCTGCCTCTGGCCACAGCCCATCACTTTGGGCATGCTCTGGAGTAATGTGACAGAAAGAGAAATATCTGTGGATGGTTTGCCCTAGACCAAAGGTGAGCATAGGTGAGCTAGTGAGCCTGTAGCAAGACAAATGTGAGTAATGCAGTCTGGCTCCAAACAAATGCCTGTGAACATCTCTCACAGCCATCTGGTTTTGTAGTGCAGCTTTTGTAGTCCCCAGGATGTGAGACAAGACTGCTGTCTCCCTGGGCAGTATCACAGGATGAAAGAGGTGGAGAAGTCTTCTTATGAAGGGAAGTCCTAAGAGATGGTGAGCACAGAGACAGTAACTAGAAGTGACATGTCTGACACACGTCTAGGTAGGACACCACGTCCCAACAAAGCTCTCACTCAGCAGTGCATCCCTGTGTGTATATCCTACCTGTACAGGCACCTTTGCTGTATCACTCGTTCAGTTTGTCTGTTGGGTCTTTACACATTTCTTTAGCCTGTGAGACCAAGGGCTGTGGTGTGACCTGCCAAGGAGCATGCCATATCCCTGTGGAGCAAATCCACAGGTGGAAAGAACACCAGCCTCCTTGCTGCTGAGGAGAGCAAGGGTTGTCCTGCAGTAGCTTGGTATGAAACAGGGGTTATTTCATTCTGGAAAAGAAACTGTACTGAGAGCTACTTTCTTCCTATGTGATTGTGTCTAAAATTTGTTCAAATAAATTTTTTTAATGTCCACAATTTGTGTTTGTAATTTTGTCAGTGCAAATTAAGTTGGGCTTTAATATGGAGAAAGAGTTACTCCATTTTATTGACAATAAGCATAACAGGGAAATAACCCCACTTCTCACTCAATGTCCTAACCTCCATTAGCAATGGTAAAAATCCCCTTGTAGCTGAAATTTTCCAGTTTCCTTCTGTTACCTCAGTTAATCTTTCCACTCAGCATGGAGGCTGCTGAGGGGGATGGAGTAGCAAACATCCAAGGCTTTCAATGCCTCCCCCAAGAAGCCACCCTCCATGGAGCAGTCAGGAGGCCCTCCCAGCACTCACTGAGCTAAGCCCGTGTAGGACTTGCATTTGGAGCCTTAATGACAGCATGCTGCTCTGTCATTAGGCTGATGGGTAATTTGGTGACCAGCTTCACTTGACTTACCTTGGTAGTTAAACCCTGCTCATGTGCTGAAAAATGTTGCCTGTGTCACAGGATTTTATCCAAGACAGCTCATGGGACTAACCCTTTTAGCCCTATCTTCAGTATTACAGATAGGTCAGGGCTCCTGCCTGTCCAGATGTGGGGCCCCAGAGCTGCTCCAGAGTCAGAGGACTGGAAAGTGGGGCTGCTAAGGGAGGAGTGTGGTGGTTCAGCAGAGAGCAAGGAAAGAAAATGGACAAAAAGTGTAGCAGAGGTAATGAGCAAATTCAGAAATTAGAAGAGAATAGGAAAATACTACCAATAAAACATGGCTTGGGAACTTGTTTTTTGGGCGAGGAGGCTGTTGGGATTTTTAGGATTTGTTTGGGGCTTTTTTGGGGGGAGGGGGCATGGTTGTTTACCAAGTCCGCAGTCACACTGCCCTACAGACCGCTGTTTACTAGATGTAAAGTAACCTCTGAGAGTATTTGGAGCTGGCTCCCAGCTTTGTGGCTTCCTGGCACTAAATCTTACAGAAGCACCTGTGAATGGAAATAGCAGCAAAGTGTGAATTAACTTTACAGGCAGTGAGTCATTCCACTGAGCCATATCCTGTCATATGCACAATAAGCACTCTAAAACACCCTGAAATCCGTGAACAAAGCTGAACTCCTGGGTGTGGGGGGGTGAATCTATCTCATTAAATGGAGTTTCCTACCAAAGCCACCTGAGGTGTCTTTAAAGCCTTGCTCTCATTCTCTTATGGTGCAGTACTGGATCTGTGCTACTGCCTGGCTTTGGTAGAGTCTGGGCTTGTCTCTGCCTTGCAGTGCTGCTTGACCAACCTGTATTTTCAGATGCTGCTGAGAGCACAGAGGAGTTCCTGGGAGACTGTTGCTAACACAAACCACTCCATCAGGGTGGGTGAAGCTAGCCCAGTCCATTGCTAGGCCAGCACAATTCCTCACAAGTGCTGCTTACTTTCTTCCAAAAAGGATCCTCATGATTAGTTGATCTGACTTGTTCCATAGCACAAAGCTCAGCATCAAATGCTGAAAGCACCAACATTCCAACAGGGTAGCAACTCTCCAGCACCTTTCTTGCTCAGGGCTCTGACTTGGATCCTGGATAGCAGAGTCCTGCATATCCTTGCATCCAGCAGAGTAACTGATGAGGAAGACTGTCCTTCCTGTACTGGAGAACACTGGTTGAGTGTAGGAAACAGTGTAAGTGCTTCAGTACAGGTACACACCATGCTTTGCAAGCCCACATAAAGCCAGTGTGCTTGTTGCCACTCACAGCTGCCATCTCCAGAGGACCTGAGCTTGGATGTAGCAACAGTAGGGACACAGTATGGAAAGGACCCTTTAGTTTCCTTTTTCTGTAGGTATCACACCCTAAATGGGCTTAACTGTGCCAAAAAGGTTTCCAGCTAGCAACACTTTCCTCAGCTTCAGCTGAACCCTGACTGGGAATTAAACTCCAAAATAATACTAAGTTTCATCTGACTCAGCACATCCTCCTTCCAGCACCAAAAAGGCAAGTTTGAAAGTCCTTCTGGACATCTTTATGCCCTGTAGGTTACATCCTTTTTACTTTTAAGGGACAGGCTAAACTATTACCAGGTCAGGAGCTGACCTGAATCTCGAAGAAGGAACCCTGCTGAAATGCAATTACCTCGACATGTCATCCTCCCCCCATTTCCTGAGAAGGGTGTGATTGCATTAACAACCTTATCACTTTCTTAACACTCCCCAATTTAATCCTCAGGTGCTAACTGGCCTTTTTCTTCAGATTGCTCCAAGTTTAACATTATTTATCAATTAGGCCTCAGCTGTAGTGTCAGCTAAGTAATCTGCTTCGACTTTGCTCTTAATGCCGTCCTGGCCCAAATTTTGGCTAGATTGGTCCTTTCCCATGGTCCTTTCTGCAGTCTCTCAAAGAACAGCATGGGAACACCAGCAGAGCAGAAAGGAGCAGAGGCACTGCTCAGAGAGTTGCTGTCACCATAAGGAGTGTTTGTCCCCTCACAGCCTGTGTGCTAACTGAACTGCTGCTCTCCCATTCTGCTGGGAGTCCTTTTTGCCCAGGATGCTGTCCTTGGCTGCCTGTACGTCTTGGGTCTGCTTTACATCATTGCCTCTCTTCGACTGTGCTAAATCACTCTGTAATGAGCCTGGGAGATAAAGCATTTATCTAAAGAAACCACTTGAACTTTACAATATGGCTCTAAGACTGTCCCTCCTGTGCTGGAGAATGCTGGTTGAGACCCAGCACTTAGTCTGCATCTGCTCCCAGAAAAGGAATCAAAGAGTTGGCCCAGCTGGCACCTGGGCCTCCTGGAAGCTGCTTACTCATGCCTCTGCAGAGTCCAGCCCTGGGCTCCCCGTTCCCATCGTATAAATACAGCATTGTACTTGCAAAGACCTATTGCACAAGAGGGCAGGGTATGTCTCAACTTATCCCTGAGACAGGTTCCCTGTGCTGCAGCCCCACGTGATCCTCGTTCCCAGGGTGACACCATGCCCTTTCCAGCTCCCAGACAGAGCTGCTCGGCATCCAAACTCGCAGGACTTGTTCTGGAGGAGCAGGAGGAGATGTGGGTCCCATCCTCCCCCTCCAACCCCTTATCCCCAGCACTACCCCTAGGGCAGTGTTGTGAACTGAAATACTCTGGTTTCTGCTGCTATGGAGGAACATCAGGTGCAAAGAAATTTGGCTCGAGGACAAGTTTCACCACGAGTCACTGAGCCAGGCTTTTCTTTCCCATGAGATAATCTTGGGCGGGGCAGACAATCTCTTAAAATTAAAATACAATGAAAATACACGGGCTTCCCAGGGTCTAGAGTAAAGCTCTCTTTCCTTGTTTTCTCAGAAAGCGAGCCAGGCACTGCTGAAACCTTCCCCAGGCTTTCAGCACAGAAGGAATCACTGCAGTGGCAGTCCCAGAGCCAGGCCTGGTTCCTGCTGCTTCCCCAGCTGGCAGCAGGAGCCCACCCGGGGTCCTGGCTCTGCTGGTGAGAGTGGAAGAGCTCGACCTCCTATGGAAGAGGGCACAGTTTAGCGAATCAATCACAGACAGCAAAGCGCCCTTCCTGTGACTGTGCTGCCAGTGCCATGGTGGAATTCCCTGGTGAGGACAGCACTGGTGATTCCCAAGCAGTTACCTGTATGTGAACACTTGTGCTGACGGTGCCATCACAAATGTTAAAGTTTGCAGGGAGCTCAGGGCACTCAAGCCGTGGGCTTGCCCCTTCCTCCACCTTCTTCATCTCACCTGTCACCGAG